AAAAAAAAAAAAAAAAAAGAAAGCAAAAAATAAAGCAAGAAAAGTGGGTAGAAAAAAAAAAAGACAGGAAAAATAAATAAAAAAAGAACAAAAACAAGAAGATAGGAAATTAAGAATGGTTATTATATTGTGTATTGTTATCTTCAAAGTAATTGCTCAGACTACCAGATACAGGCTTCCAAACTAGGTCTCACTTCTAGTAGTCACTCTGTCTCTCGGTCTCTCTGACAGGAACTGGCTAAAGGAGAGGAGAATAAGCTGGCCCCACTGCCTGCCTGCCTCCGGGCTGCTCTGACTGACAAATTTGCTCAGTTTGATGAGTACCAGCTGGCTAAGTACAATCTGCGCAAGCATCGTGCCAAGAGTCGCCCCCGCCGGCCACCGCGGCCTCCAGTGAGTCCTGGCCTCCTCCCTGCTCACTCACGGCCCAGGCCACTCCTCGGCAAGGGAGAGACGGGGGCAAGGTGGTCCCGGGGTTTGCACACCAAGCTAGTGGTGCGTTTCCCAGTGAGGATCTAATGGAGAGGCCCAGGAATGCTGGGAAGAGTGCGGGGCACTCTTTTTCCTAGCTGGCTTCCTTTCTGTCAGAGATGGACCTTCAGGATATTCTAAGGGTTTCACCCCAGGGACAGACTCGATTTCCCTGTGTGAAACTGTGTGTTCCTGCAGGAGCATCCATTTTCTGAGAGAATGTGTTTTCCAAGATACCTATGGCCTATTATAAAAGTACAGAAAAAGGTGAGTCCTTTTCCTGGGGCGGCGTATGTGCAGGTACAGTTCTGACTGCATGTTACTGACAGGTGACATGTTTAGTGTGATAAATGAGTTACAAACTGTGTGAAATACCTTTCTTGGGAAGTTTTAAAAACAAAATCTTTTATACTTTTATGACAAATAAGACTACCTAGTGATTGAGAGCATAGACTCTGGATTCATATAAGCTGGATTTGCATCTTACCTTCATGGCTAGCCTTGAGCCCTTAGTCAAATGATTGAACATCTCTTGCCTCAGTTTCCTCATAATGGAAAATGGGGAAAATAGCAGAACCTACTTTGTAGGGTTGTAAAGATTAGCTTAAGTAGTAAAGGTATTTCTATTAATATTTGGCATTAAAAAGTGTAAGCTATTATTATTAAAACACATTTGTAGGAAAATGTATATGTGTATTACAGGAAAAAAACACATTTTTAGTTGGTCAGCTGGTCTTTTCTCCTTACCCTATTAATATAGGCCAAACTTGGCTCTCCTATCATAGAAAATGCTCTCCACCTCTTATCCTTCACAGCCTGCACTGTGCTGCTGCCTCCATTTACCTGACCAGGGCCTCTGCACCTGAAATAAGAGCTGCTTCTCCCTTTCTTTTTTTTTTTCTTTTTGAGACAGGGTCTTGCTATGCAATTCAGGCTGGCCTTGAGCTCACTTTGTAGCCCAGGCTGGTCTTGAACTCCAGTGATCCTCCTGCCTTATCCTCCCGAGTTTTGGGATTACAGGTGTGTGCCACCACGCCCAGCAGTTCCCTTTCCTTTCAGAACAAGGGTGTTCTGTGTTCATTCTGCTTCTGTCTGTTTTTTGCCAACCAGTCACGTCACGCTAAGCCCTGAGAGTTCCATATTCTGTGAGTGAAACACTGGGGCCCTCAGAGATAATGATATGTGGTCTTTTTTTTTTTTTTTTCCTTTCCTTCTTTTCCTGGGTATTGAACCCTGGGCTTTATGCCTGTTAGGCAGGTGTGTTACTGCTGAGCTGTACCCTCAGTCTCCCCAACAGTTTTTTCTTTCAAAGCAGGGTGTTGCCCAGGGTGGCCTCCAACTCTTGGGGTCAAACCGTGCTCTTGCTTCAACCCCTGAGTAGCGAGGACTATAGTTGTGCCACTGCCTCTGCCTGTGTGCTGCTGTCTTTCTCGTCATGGGAGCTCTTGTTGCTGGAGATTTTTACCTTCTCTCGCAATCTAATTTGGGCAAGGAGATTACCTAAGAGGTGTAGGACATCTTAGGCTCTGCTTTCTGAAGAAGATCCATGATTGTGGTTGCAATGACCCTTGGGACTTGGGGTATTTCCACAGTTTGAGGTGGAGAAAAAGAGTCCACCAGACTTCACCCTGAAGAAGTTGGTAGAGCGGCTGCATATCCATGAGCCTGCCCAGCACGTCCAAGCCCTGCTGGGCTATAGGTGAGCAGGTCCACCCTGAGCCCATGTTCTCCTGAGGTGATGCTGTCACAGCTCAGCAGCCACGGCCCCTGTCCCGGTCATTCTCAACCAGGAGTCTGGGCAGACAGGGGCTGTAAACGTGACTGCCAGATGGCTTTTACCAGTTCACCTTTCCTTTGCTGTTTCTGCTCTGAAATGATGGGCACTTTCTCCTCCGGCACAGGTACCCCTCCAGCCTCCAGCTCTTTTCTCAGAGTCGTCTCCCTGGGCCCTGGGACTCAAGCAGAGCTGGGAAACGCATGAAGCTGCCGAGACCAGAGACCTGGGACCGGGCGCTGAGCCTTCGGGGGAACAAAGCTTCTGTCTGGGAGCAGCTCATAGGTGGGGTGACCTCGACCTTTGTGGTCCTTTCCTGTCTGCTCCATTCTTGCCTCCACATTGTAGAGCCTGATAATCTCTATGGCAGGATGCAATTGCTCTCTTGGTCAGAAGCTGCACCACTGAAAGTGACTGGACTTGCAAGGCTTCTGGTTGGCCACACAGAGTGCACAGCGGTGCCTGCATGGAGTAGTGTCGTCATAGACAGATCATTGCTCCAGATGAAAGATGATACCCGAGACTATGCTAATGTATGACAAAAGTGGCAGCTCTGTGCTTATTACACGTGTATCGATATCTACCTTCCAAAACAAGTTAGGGCTGGCTCTTGGTACATTAGAAATCTCTCTAGAATCTCGTATTTAGGTGTGGAAGTTTTAGGTAAATAAGTGTATTATGTACAGGTAACAATTTCCCACAGGAAATATTAATGATCTTTTTTTCTTTTTTTTTTTTGGTACTAGCCATCAAACTCAGGACCTGGTGATTGCTGTACTGCTAAGCTAGATCCCAGGCATAAATTTATTCATGATTTTTTTTTTTAATTTTAAAAATAAAACGAGGAGAACATTAACAGACAACCTTTTACAAAATAGCAAAAGAACAGTACAGACAATACAGAGTTACAAACAAAGTGGTAGGAAATTAACAGTGCTTGTTGTATTACATATTGATACCTTCAGAGTGGTTTCTCATGAAAACAGAGACATGCAATATTTATCAATCAAGGACTTATTGACAGTTTCTTTCAGCAAAGAAATACAAGACAGTAGAACAGCT